CCAGCAATGTGTGTGTGTGTAACCAGCAATGTGTGTGTGTGTAACCAGCAATGTGTGTGTGTGTAACCAGCAATGTGTGTGTGTGTGTAACCAGCAATGTGTGTGTGTAACCAGCAATGTGTGTGTGTGTAACCAGCAATGTGTGTGTGTGTGTGTAACCAGCAATGTGTGTGTGTGTAACCAGCAATGTGTGTGTGTGTAACCAGCAATGTGTGTGTGTGTGTAACCAGCAATGTGTGTGTGTGTGTGTAACCAGCAATGTGTGTGTGTGTAACCAGCAATGTGTGTGTGTGTAACCAGCAATGTGTGTGTGTGTAACCAGCAATGTGTGTGTGTGTAACCAGCAATGTGTGTGTGTGTGTGTAACCAGCAATGTGTGTGTGTGTAACCAGCAATGTGTGTGTGTGTAACCAGCAATGTGTGTGTGTGTGTAACCAGCAATGTGTGTGTGTGTGTAACCAGCAATGTGTGTGTGTAACCAGCAATGTGTGTGTGTGTGTGTAACCAGCAATGTGTGTGTAACCAGCAATGTGTGTGTGTGTAACCAGCAATGTGTGTGTGTGTAACCAGCAATGTGTGTGTGTGTAACCAGCAATGTGTGTGTGTGTAACCAGCAATGTGTGTGTGTAACCAGCAATGTGTGTGTGTGTAACCAGCAATGTGTGTGTGTGTAACCAGCAATGTGTGTGTGTGTGTAACCAGCAATGTGTGTGTGTGTAACCAGCAATGTGTGTGTGTAACCAGCAATGTGTGTGTGTAACCAGCAATGTGTGTGTGTGTAACCAGCAATGTGTGTGTGTGTAACCAGCAATGTGTGTGTGTGTGTAACCAGCAATGTGTGTGTGTGTGTAACCAGCAATGTGTGTGTGTGTAACCAGCAATGTGTGTGTGTAACCATCAATGTGTGTGTGTGTGTAACCAGCAATGTGTGTGTGTGTGTAACCAGCAATGTGTGTGTGTGTGTAACCAGCAATGTGTGTGTGTAACCATCAATGTGTGTGTGTGTGTAACCAGCAATGTGTGTGTGTGTGTAACCAGCAATGTGTGTGTGTGTGTAACCAGCAATGTGTGTGTGTGTGTAACCAGCAATGTGTGTGTGTAACCAGCAATGTGTGTGTGTGTGTAACCAGCAATGTGTGTGTGTAACCAGCAATGTGTGTGTGTGTAACCAGCAATGTGTGTGTGTGTGTGTAACCAGCAATGTGTGTGTGTGTGTAACCAGCAATGTGTGTGTGTGTAACCAGCAATGTGTGTGTGTGTGTAACCAGCAATGTGTGTGTGTGTGTGTAACCAGCAATGTGTGTGTGTAACCAGCAATGTGTGTGTGTGTGTGTAACCAGCAATGTGTGTGTGTAACCAGCAATGTGTGTGTGTAACCAGCAATGTGTGTGTGTGTGTGTAACCAGCAATGTGTGTGTGTGTGTGTAACCAGCAATGTGTGTGTGTGTGTAACCAGCAATGTGTGTGTGTGTGTAACCAGCAATGTGTGTGTGTAACCAGCAATGTGTGTGTGTAACCAGCAATGTGTGTGTGTGTGTAACCAGCAATGTGTGTGTGTGTAACCAGCAATGTGTGTGTGTGTAACCAGCAATGTGTGTGTGTGTGTGTAACCAGCAATGTGTGTGTGTGTAACCAGCAATGTGTGTGTGTGTGTAACCAGCAATGTGTGTGTGTGTAACCAGCAATGTGTGTGTGTGTGTAACCAGCAATGTGTGTGTGTGTGTAACCAGCAATGTGTGTGTGTGTGTAACCAGCAATGTGTGTGTGTGTAACCAGCAATGTGTGTGTGTGTAACCAGCAATGTGTGTGTGTGTGTAACCAGCAATGTGTGTGTGTGTGTAACCATCAATGTGTGTGTGTGTGTAACCAGCAATGTGTGTGTGTGTGTAACCAGCAATGTGTGTGTGTGTGTAACCAGCAATGTGTGTGTGTGTGTAACCAGCAATGTGTGTGTGTAACCAGCAATGTGTGTGTGTGTGTAACCAGCAATGTGTGTGTGTAACCAGCAATGTGTGTGTGTGTAACCAGCAATGTGTGTGTGTGTGTGTAACCAGCAATGTGTGTGTGTGTGTAACCAGCAATGTGTGTGTGTGTAACCAGCAATGTGTGTGTGTGTGTAACCAGCAATGTGTGTGTGTGTGTGTAACCAGCAATGTGTGTGTGTAACCAGCAATGTGTGTGTGTGTGTGTAACCAGCAATGTGTGTGTGTAACCAGCAATGTGTGTGTGTAACCAGCAATGTGTGTGTGTGTGTGTAACCAGCAATGTGTGTGTGTGTGTAACCAGCAATGTGTGTGTGTGTGTAACCAGCAATGTGTGTGTGTAACCAGCAATGTGTGTGTGTAACCAGCAATGTGTGTGTGTGTAACCAGCAATGTGTGTGTGTGTAACCAGCAATGTGTGTGTGTGTAACCAGCAATGTGTGTGTGTGTGTGTAACCAGCAATGTGTGTGTGTGTAACCAGCAATGTGTGTGTGTGTGTAACCAGCAATGTGTGTGTGTGTGTAACCAGCAATGTGTGTGTGTGTGTAACCAGCAATGTGTGTGTGTGTAACCAGCAATGTGTGTGTGTGTGTAACCAGCAATGTGTGTGTGTGTGTGTAACCAGCAATGTGTGTGTGTAACCAGCAATGTGTGTGTGTGTAACCAGCAGTGTGTGTGTGTAACCAGCAATGTGTGTGTGTGTGTAACCAGCAATGTGTGTGTGTGTAACCAGCAATGTGTGTGTGTGTAACCAGCAATGTGTGTGTGTGTAACCAGCAATGTGTGTGTGTGTAACCAGCAATGTGTGTGTGTGTGTGTAACCAGCAATGTGTGTGTGTGTAACCAGCAATGTGTGTGTGTGTAACCAGCAATGTGTGTGTGTGTAACCAGCAATGTGTGTGTGTGTGTAACCAGCAATGTGTGTGTGTGTGTAACCAGCAATGTGTGTGTGTGTAACCAGCAATGTGTGTGTGTGTAACCAGCAATGTGTGTGTGTAACCAGCAATGTGTGTGTAACCAGCAATGTGTGTGTGTCTAACCAGCAATGTGTGTGTGTGTGTGTAACCAGCAATGTGTGTGTAACCAGCAATGTGTGTGTGTGTAACCAGCAATGTGTGTGTGTGTAACCAGCAATGTGTGTGTGTGTAACCAGCAATGTGTGTGTGTGTAACCAGCAATGTGTGTGTAACCAGCAATGTGTGTGTGTAACCAGCAATGTGTGTGTGTGTAACCAGCAATGTGTGTGTGTGTAACCAGCAATGTGTGTGTGTGTGTAACCAGCAATGTGTGTGTGTGTAACCAGCAATGTGTGTGTGTGTGTAACCAGCAATGTGTGTGTGTGTAACCAGCAATGTGTGTGTGTGTAACCAGCAATGTGTGTGTGTGTGTAACCAGCAATGTGTGTGTGTGTGTGTGTAACCAGCAATGTGTGTGTGTGTAACCAGCAATGTGTGTGTGTGTGTGTAACCAGCAATGTGTGTGTGTGTAACCAGCAATGTGTGTGTGTGTAACCAGCAATGTGTGTGTAACCAGCAATGTGTGTGTGTGTAACCAGCAATGTGTGTGTGTGTGTAACCAGCAATGTGTGTGTAACCAGCAATGTGTGTGTGTGTAACCAGCAATGTGTGTGTGTGTGTAACCAGCAATGTGTGTGTGTGTGTAACCAGCAATGTGTGTGTGTGTGTAACCAGCAATGTGTGTGTGTAACCAGCAATGTGTGTGTGTGTAACCAGCAATGTGTGTGTGTGTAACCAGCAATGTGTGTGTGTAACCAGCAATGTGTGTGTGTAACCAGCAATGTGTGTGTGTGTAACCAGCAATGTGTGTGTGTGTAACCAGCAATGTGTGTGTGTGTAACCAGCAATGTGTGTGTGTGTAACCAGCAATGTGTGTGTGTGTGTAACCAGCAATGTGTGTGTGTGTAACCAGCAATGTGTGTGTGTGTGTAACCAGCAATGTGTGTGTGTGTAACCAGCAATGTGTGTGTGTGTAACCAGCAATGTGTGTGTGTAACCAGCAATGTGTGTGTGTGTAACCAGCAATGTGTGTGTGTGTGTGTAACCAGCAATGTGTGTGTGTGTAACCAGCAATGTGTGTGTGTGTAACCAGCAATGTGTGTGTGTGTAACCAGCAATGTGTGTGTGTGTGTGTAACCAGCAATGTGTGTGTGTGTAACCAGCAATGTGTGTGTGTGTAACCAGCAATGTGTGTGTGTGTAACCAGCAATGTGTGTGTGTGTGTAACCAGCAATGTGTGTGTGTGTGTAACCAGCAATGTGTGTGTGTGTGTAACCAGCAATGTGTGTGTGTGTAACCAGCAATGTGTGTGTGTGTAACCAGCAATGTGTGTGTGTGTAACCAGCAATGTGTGTGTGTGTAACCAGCAATGTGTGTGTGTGTAACCAGCAATGTGTGTGTGTGTGTGTAACCAGCAATGTGTGTGTGTAACCAGCAATGTGTGTGTAACCAGCAATGTGTGTGTGTGTAACCAGCAATGTGTGTGTGTGTAACCAGCAATGTGTGTGTGTGTAACCAGCAATGTGTGTGTGTAACCAGCAATGTGTGTGTGTGTAACCAGCAATGTGTGTGTGTGTGTAACCAGCAATGTGTGTGTGTAACCAGCAATGTGTGTGTGTAACCAGCAATGTGTGTGTGTGTAACCAGCAATGTGTGTGTGTGTAACCAGCAATGTGTGTGTGTGTGTAACCAGCAATGTGTGTGTGTGTGTAACCAGCAATGTGTGTGTGTGTGTAACCAGCAATGTGTGTGTGTGTAACCAGCAATGTGTGTGTGTGTGTAACCAGCAATGTGTGTGTGTGTAACCAGCAATGTGTGTGTAACCAGCAATGTGTGTGTGTGTAACCAGCAATGTGTGTGTGTGTAACCAGCAATGTGTGTGTGTAACCAGCAATGTGTGTGTGTGTCTAACCAGCAATGTGTGTGTGTCTAACCAGCAATGTGTGTGTGTGTGTAACCAGCAATGTGTGTGTGTGTAACCATCTGTTGTTTGGTTGACAGAGAGCACACTTCAAGTACTGAAGCTGAGCCTTGCTGAGTTCTCCCTCCCCAAGTTCTACCAGTTGTTTGGCATCAGCACAGTGAAATCTGCCGCTGTCAGCGCCTTTAGAACCAGCTTTAGACCAGGTGATCGTTCTTTCACCACATCTCCTCCAGAAAATGAGAAAATGCCTCTCAGTTCACTTGAAGCCATAGCTAAACTTTTGTTAAACCACAGGCTTGTAGTCTTACATTTAAAGCTAAACTTTAGTTAAACCACAAGATTGTAGTCTTACATTTAAAGCTAAACTATTGTTAAACCACAGGCTTGTATGAAAGACATTCCAAATTGTGATTGGCTTCAGCAGTGGACAGATCTAGCCAGAAGGTTTGTACATTCCTAACTCAACACATCTGTCTGCTATCTGTCTGCATTATCTGTATGCATTATCTGTCTGAATCATCTGTCTGCCATATGCTCTAACACATCTGTCTGCCATAGGGTCTAACATATCATCTGTCTGACACATCATCTGTCTGACACATGGTCGACATATCATTTGTCTGACACATCATCTGTCTGACACATCTGTCTGACACATCATCTGTCAGACACATCATCTGTCTGACACATGGTCTAACATCATCTGTCTGACACATCATCTGTCTGACACATCATCTGTCTGACACATCATCTGTCTGACACATCATCTGTCTGACACATGGTCTGACATATCATTTGTCTGACACATCATCTGTCTGACACATCATCTGTCTGACACATCATCTATCATCTGTCTAACACATCATCTGTCTGACATATCATTTGTCTGACACATGTTTTTCAATGTTTTCTGTGTGATAACTTGGACTATTGGATCAAATTTTCTGACACCCCCCCCCCCCCCCCCCTCCCAACAGATTTGCCTTCCAGTATAACCCAGCCCTCCAACCTAGAGCCATTATTGTGTTTGGTTGTATCAGCAAAAGTGTTGTGGATTCTGAGGTCAAGCAGTTGCTCAAGATTATGATGAAGGTCAGGGACATTTTTGTGAGTACATTCTCAGTGGTTCACCCTTTGCTTTTAAATAGTTTTTGATTCACTGGACCCACAGTTAACCATTAATGTCCCGTAACGCCCGCTGCCGCCCGACACCGTTAATGTCCCGTAACGCCCGCTGCCGCCCGCTTAAAATACGCATAGAAAAATTAAATTTGTTTCATTAAAATTTGGCCTACAAATCCTAATTTTTAACTAAACAGGAAGTCGGATAGTTTCACCATCCTTTTCCGGTCTTATAATTTCAATGGCGCTTTTGAAAGATAAAAAATAATAGCTTCTTTCGATCTCGAAATTTTAGACTCATCTGTCCTTTTTTTAGTAGATTTAATGTTAAAAATAAAATAAAATAATGCCTCTAAACGTATCTAGGCATGTATTTTATGAATTATTTATCTTAAACATAACCAAATTGATATTTAACTGTTAAATTCGATGCTTAGTTGTTTAGACAAAAATAAATAAAGTTGACTATCGAAAATGACCTGTTTTGAATTTTCTCCGACATTTTTTATTTTTTTACTGTACTTTTACCGAATATAATATATTCTATTTAATACTGTTGGAAAGCCAGGTTTATTCCCAACATTAAGCAGTAGTTTTTATCTTAATTTTCAATTTCATTTAGACAAAAACAAATATTTTGTGAAACTATTCACTTGATCATACAGAGTTATGCTCCTTACATTGGGCCGTCATGGGTGGAGTTTTGGTAGAATGAATGGGACATTAATGGTTAAACACTGGACCCACACTTAAACACTGGACCCACAGTTAAACACTGACCCACACTTAAACACTGACCCACACTTAAACACTGGACCCACACTTAAACACTGGACCCACACTTAAACACTGGAATCACACTTAAACACTGACCCACACTTAAACACTGGACCCACACTTAAACACTGGACCCACACTTAAACACTGGAATCACACTTAAACACTGACCCACACTTAAACACTGGACCCACACTTCACTATAACCTCTTATGCACTTTTTACTTTGTAGTTGTAGATTAGTTGATTAAATTGATGTTGATTCAATTCCTCTTTTGCCCATTGAGTGTAACACTTTGTGGCTCATATTCTATTCAATTGTTCTTTTATTTTTTTATCAGAGGACTTTTTCTAAAATTTTGGTTTAAGTTCTGTTTTTTATTGTTTAGATTTTGTCTTTTGTATGTGTTTTCCCACTTTTGATTAATTTACATTTCTGAAAAAAAATATCTGGGTTTAGCTCCTGGCCATATGTAAAAAAAAAATTTGGAAAATGTTTTAGCATCACCATAATTTGTAGCAGCTTATTCCAAAAGAGAAAGTGATTCAATTGTATTGAGTTCACGTTTAAGAATGAACCCCTTTTTTACAGACAATTTGTTTTAGTAACCACTCCATCATGTAGCAAGTATTTCAAGCATGTGAGCATATTTCTCCAGTGCTTAAACTTGATAGCAACATTTCTATCAGCTTAATACTAACTCAGCCCACAGCAGTACTGATGTATGTGTTATGTTTTTAAGGCTCTGGAGTCCTACATGGATTTAACCTTGATAGAAGCTGTTGTTATGTGCCTGACCAGATTACAGCCAATGTTGAAACCTGTAAGTATGACAAGCCTTAATATTGATAGGGCTCTCAAAATATATCCATAAGCAATGTTGGAGATATTGCCAGCAATTGGTGGTGGATGTGGCAGTGGATATGGCAGTTGGTAGTAGATTTGGTAGTTGGTACAGCAGTTGGTAGTAGCTTTGGCAGTTGGTACAGGAGTTGGTGGTGGATATGGCAGTTGGTACAGGAGTTGGTAGTAGCTTTGGCAGTTGGTACAGGAGTTGGTAGTAGCTTTGGCAGTTGGTACAGGAGTTGGTGGTGGATATGGCAGTTGGTACAGGAGTTGGTGGTGGATATGGCAGTTGGTACAGGAGTTGGTGGTGGATATGGCAGTTGGTACAGCAGTTGGTAGTAGCTTTGGCAGTTGGTACAGGAGTTGGTAGTAGCTTTGGCAGTTGGTACAGGAGTTGGTAGTAGCTTTGACAGTTGGTACAGGAGTTGGTAGTAGCTTTGACAGTTGGTACAGGAGTTGGTAGTAGCTTTGGCAGTTGGTACAGCAGTTGGTAGTAGCTTTGACAGTTGGTACAGGAGTTGGTAGTAGCTTTGACAGTTGGTAGTAGCTTTGACAGTTGGTAGTAGCTTTGGCAGTTGGTACAGCAGTTGGTAGTAGCTTTGGCAGTTGGTACAGGAGTTGGTAGTAGCTTTGGCAGTTGGTACAGGAGTTGGTAGTAGCTTTGACAGTTGGTACAGGAGTTGGTAGTAGCTTTGGCAGTTGGTACAGCAGTTGGTAGTAGCTTTGACAGTTGGTACAGGAGTTGGTAGTAGCTTTGACAGTTGGTAGTAGCTTTGACAGTTGGTAGTAGCTTTGGCAGTTGGTACAGCAGTTGGTAGTAGCTTTGGCAGTTGGTACAGGAGTTGGTAGTAGCTTTGGCAGTTGGTACAGGAGTTGGTAGTAGCTTTGGCAGTTGGTACAGGAGTTGGTGGTGGATATGGCAGTTGGTACAGCAGTTGGTAGTAGCTTTGGCAGTTGGTACAGGAGTTGGTAGTAGCTTTGGCAGTTGGTACAGGAGTTGGTGGTAGCTTTGGCAGTTGGTACAGGAGTTGGTGATGGATATGGCAGTTGGTACAGCAGTTGGTAGTAGCTTTGACAGTTGGTACAGGAGTTGGTAGTAGCTTTGGCAGTTGGTACAGGAGTTGGTAGTAGCTTTGACAGTTGGTAGTAGCTTTGGCAGTTGGTACAGGAGTTGGTGGTGGATATGGCAGTTGGTACAGCAGTTGGTAGTAGCTTTGACAGTTGGTACAGGAGTTGGTAGTAGCTTTGGCAGTTGGTACAGGAGTTGGTGGTGGATATGGCAGTTGGTACAGCAGTTGGTAGTAGCTTTGACAGTTGGTACAGGAGTTGGTAGTAGCTTTGACAGTTGGTAGTAGCTTTGACAGTTGGTAGTAGCTTTGGCAGTTGGTACAGCAGTTGGCAGTCCATACAAAGCTGGGGATCATAGTGTGAAGGTCACTAATAGTTTCTAAAATTTTCCAGGACTCTCCAATCCACAAATTCCTCTTTTGGGTGGCCATATCTGTACTCCAGTTGGATGAGGTGTCACTCTACGCTGCTGGGCTGGGTCTCTTGGAGCAGAATCTACACACCTTGGACAACACTGGATTGTTTGAACACAAGGTATGTCATTTAGAGACACTCACTACCATCTGCCTCTAGAGACACTAGCTTTCACTAGAGACTACAACACTGCTCTCATTGTATTCCCAGAGCTTGGAGCGTGTCATGATGAGTGCCAGAGATCCTTTAGAATGGCACTTTAAACAACTGGATCATGACATGGGCCTCAGCTTTCAGACCAACTTCAACTTTGCCTTGGTCGGACATCTGCTCAAAGGTAGTACACACATTTTTTCTGCTTTCATTTTTGCATTATAAAAATATTTTGCTTAACAACACCCAATTTTGTTTCTTCTCTGTTTGCTTTTAAGTCAAATATAATGTATCTTGGTAGTGTTTCACTTATTCATTTAGCAAAACATGTCATTACTATTGACTGTCATGTGACCTATGGTGTGACTGTCATGTGACCCATGGCGTGACTGTCATGTGACCCATGGCGTGACTGTCATGTGACCCATGGCGTGACTACCATGTGACCCATGGTGTGACTGTCATGTGACCCATGGCGTGACTGTCATGTGACCCATGGCGTGACTGTCATGTGACCCATGGCGTGACTGTCATGTGACCCATGGCGTGACTGTCATGTGACCCATGGTGTGACTGTCATGTGACCCATGGCGTGACTACCATGTGACCCATGGTGTGACTGTCATGTGACCCATGGCGTGACTGTCATGTGACCCATGGCGTGACTGTCATGTGACCCATGGCGTGACTGTCATGTGACCCATGGTGTGACTGTCATGTGACCCATGGCGTGACTGTCATGTGACCCATGGCGTGACTGTCATGTGACCCATGGCGTGACTGTCATGTGACCCATGGCGTGACTGTCATGTGACCCATGGCGTGACTATCACAGACATGCCTACCGTCCCGCCAAAATCGGAAGTCCCGCTTTTTCACCTAAAAAATCAATTTGTTCCGTCATCCTGAAATTGACTCACTTGGTTCTGATTTTTTTGAAAAAATAATTTAATAAAGAAAGGTAATAAAGTAAATTGAAAAAATGTCAGGGAAAAGCGATTATCTCCCTTTGGCACACGTTTCTGTTTCCTAGTTTACTTACAATATTTACAATTATCATCTTAATGCTAGATCTAGTTAGTAGTATATCTACTACTACTAGATCTACAATTGTAACTAGATCTACTAGTAGATACTGAAATAGTGAATACTGATCTATCTTGTAAGTTTAACTTAACTAGTAACTACTATTATGAAGAACTTAGTAAGAAGTAACTAGGAGACTAGGAGTTTTACTAGGTAGATCAAGGGTCTTTGCTCGTAACTTTATATATGATGAAGCCTTCAGCATTTGTTATTCATATAGCATAGAACATAGCAAGACACAAATAATCAAATCAATAATGTTATGTCAAAGCTATGATTTTTATTCGGGGGGGGGGGGGGGGGTCTCAGGTTATTGGTTAATTTATTTTTTAAAATGTAAGCTGACATTAAGCAGTATTTAAATGTATCCTAGAGACTAGTTATATATTACTAGAAGCCTACTAATGTCATTAGAGTAATTTTTAATTAATTATTTTTATTTCTGACTTAGTAAAGTTGCGTCCGCACGTATGTTCCTCTTTTTGGCTTCAAATTCCTCTTTTTAGGCATAACTGTTCCTACTTTTGGCTGACAGGGGTAGGCATGTCTGCTGTCATGTGACCCATGGCGTGACTGTCATGTGACCCATGGTGTGACTGTCATGTGACCCATGGCATGACTGTCACGTGACCCATGGTGTCACTGTTAGGTGATAGTCAGCAGACATGCTGATGTAGTTTTTGTTTAATGTTTTGTGCAGGTTTTCGGCATCCTGCTGCTACTACCGTATCCAGAACTATCCGCGTGTTGCATCAGCTCTTGAGTATAACTGTGAAACCAACCAATCGGGACAAATTTGAAGTTACATCACAAACTGTAGCTTATCTGGCTGGTAAGTTTCTTTGATGAAAACATCTGTTTTTTGTCAGGCTACAACAATTTAAAATCAATAGTTCAAAAATAAATATATGACTTTTAAAAAAATAAAACAATCTTCTATCTGTCGACTTTAAGTCTCTGCTTATGTTGAAAAGTCTGTTTAGGTTGAAAAGTCCATGTTTTGATCTGGCTTGTCAGTCTTTTCTCCTGGCTCTTGTGTTTTCTCATCATTTCTCATCTGTACTAGTTCCACCTTTTGTCTGTACTAGTTCCACCTTTTGTCTGTACTAGTTCCACCTTTTGTCTGTACTAGTTCCACCTTTTGTCTGTACTAGTTCCACCTTTTGTCTGTACTAGTTCCACCTTTTGTCTGTACTAGTTCCACCTTTTGTCTGTACTAGTTCCACCTTTTGTCTGTCTGTACTAGTTCCACCTTTTGTCTGTCTGTACTAGTTCCACCTTTTGTCTGTACTAGTTCCACCTTTTGTCTGTACTAGTTCCACCTTTTGTCTGTACTAGTTCCACCTTTTGTCTGTACTAGTTCCACCTTTTGTCTGTACTAGTTCCACCTTTTGTCTGTCTGTACTAGTTCCACCTTTTGTCTGTCTGTACTAGTTCCACCTTTTGTCTGTACTAGTTCCACCTTTTGTCTGTACTAGTTCCACCTTTTGTCTGTACTAGTTCCACCTTTTGTCTGTACTAGTTCCACCTTTTGTCTGTACTAGTTCCACCTTTTGTCTGTACTAGTTCCACCTTTTGTCTGTACTAGTTCCACCTTTTGTTTGTACTAGTTCCACCTTTTGTCTGTACTAGTTCCACCTTTTGTCTGTCTGTACTAGTTCCACCTTTTGTCTGTACTAGTTCCACCTTTTGTCTGTCTGTACTAGTTCCACCTTTTGTCTGTACTAGTTCCACCTTTTGTCTGTCTGTACTAGTTCCACCTTTTGTCTGTCTGTACTAGTTCCACCTTTTGTCTGTACTAGTTCCACCTTTTGTCTGTACTAGTTCCACCTTTTGTCTGTACTAGTTCCACCTTTTGTCTGTACTAGTTCCACCTTTTGTCTGTACTAGTTCCACCTTTTGTCTGTACTAGTTCCACCTTTTGTCTGTACTAGTTCCACCTTTTGTCTGTACTAGTTCCACCTTTTGTCTGTACTAGTTCCACCTTTTGTCTGTACTAGTTCCACCTTTTGTCTGTACTAGTTCCACCTTTGTCTGTACTAGTTCCACCTTTTGTCTGTACTAGTTCCACCTTTTGTCTGTACTAGTTCCACCTTTTGTCTGTACTAGTTCCACCTTTTGTCTGTACTAGTTCCACCTTTTGTCTGTACTAGTTCCACCTTTTGTCTGTACTAGTTCCACCTTTTGTCTGTACTAGTTCCACCTTTTGTCTGTACTAGTTCCACCTTTTGTCTGTACTAGTTCCACCTTTTGTCTGTACTAGTTCCACCTTTTGTCTGTACTAGTTCCACCTTTTGTCTGTACTAGTTCCACCTTTTGTCTGTACTAGTTCCACCTTTTGTCTGTACTAGTTCCACCTTTTGTCTGTACTAGTTCCACCTTTTGTCTGTACTAGTTCCACCTTTTGTCTGTACTAGTTCCACCTTTTGTCTGTACTAGTTCCACCTTTGTCTGTACTAGTTCCACCTTTTGTCTGTACTAGTTCCACCTTTTGTCTGTACTAGTTCCACCTTTTGTCTGTACTAGTTCCACCTTTTGTCTGTACTAGTTCCACCTTTTGTCTGTACTAGTTCCACCTTTTGTCTGTACTAGTTCCACCTTTTGTCTGTACTAGTTCCACCTTTTGTCTGTACTAGTTCCACCTTTTGTCTGTACTAGTTCCACCTTTTGTCTGTACTAGTTCCACCTTTTGTCTGTACTAGTTCCACCTTTTGTCTGTACTAGTTCCACCTTTTGTCTGTACTAGTTCCACCTTTTGTCTGTACTAGTTCCACCTTTTGTCTGTACTAGTTCCACCTTTTGTCTGTACTAGTTCCACCTTTTGTCTGTACTAGTTCCACCTTTTGTCTGTCTGTACTAGTTCCACCTTTTGTTTGCAGCACTGGTGTCTGTATCAGAAGAGGTGCGAAGTCGATGTCACCTGAAACATCGTACACCAAACTACCTGAGTGATTCACCATCCAGTGAAAGTGTCAGTTCGGATCTAGCTAGCCAAGGGCAATCACCTTCACCATCATTACCCACCTCTACCTCCACTTCAGGGGTTTCCACCCCAATCACACACCCAAACCCTGCACAGGTGAGTCCACCAACCGTACTTAGGGCAGTCACACGTATCATATTGCCTGTATTATTTGACTCATACTTTCTCTGGCTCTAAATTTCCCCATTTTCCAGACCAAGAGACAAAAAAGTTTTGATGTGCTGGACCAGTCAGCCCTAGCTGCTGCAAGACAACAGCCAACCAAGGTGGGGAGTTGGGAGACAGGAGAACAGAATGGTGGCCCACCAGGGTCTGGTGGGCTCAGTCCTCAGAGAGTTCAAAGGTCATTGCAGCCTGCCTCCAGCCAGGTGGGTGAGGTAAATAGTTTTCTATTTGGGTCTACACACATTAGGTCAGTACTGGACCTTGTGGGTCTACACACATTAGGTCAGTACTGGACCTTGTGGGTCTACACACATTAGGTCAGTACTGGACCTTGTGGGTCTACACACATTTGGTCAGTACTGGACCTTGTGGGTCTACACACATTTGGTCAGTACTGGACCTTGTGGGTCTACACACATTTGGACAGTACTGGACCTTGTGGGTCTACACACATTTGGTCAGTACTGGACCTTGTGGGTCTACACACATTTGGTCAGTACTGGACCTTGTGGGTCTACACACATTTGGACAGTACTGGACCTTGTGGGTCTACACACATTTGGACAGTACTGGACCTTGTGGGTCTACACACATTTGGACAGTACTGGACCTTGTGGGTCTACACACATTTGGACAGTACTGGACCTTGTGGGTCTACACACATTTGGTCAGTACTGGACCTTGTGGGTCTACACACATTTGGTCAGTACTGGACCTTGTGGGTCTACACACATTTGGACAGTACTGGACCTTGTGGGTCTACACACATTTGGACAGTACTGGACCTTGTGGGTCTACACACATTTGGACAGTACTGGACCTTGTGGGTCTACACACATTTGGACAGTACTGGACCTTGTGGGTCTACACACATTTGGACAGTACTGGACCTTGTGGGTCTACACACATTTGGACAGTACTGGACCTTGTGGGTCTACACACATTTGGTCAGTACTGGACCTTGTGGGTCTACACACATTTGGTCAGTACTGGACCTTGTGGGTCTACACACATTTGGACAGTACTGGACCTTGTGGGTCTACACACATTTGGTCAGTACTGGACCTTGTGGGTCTACACACATTTGGACAGTACTGGACCTTGTGGGTCTACACACATTTGGTCAGTACTGGACCTTGTGGGTCTACACACATTTGGTCAGTACTGGACCTTGTGGGTCTACACACATTTGGACAGTACTGGACCTTGTGGGTCTACACACATTTGGTCAGTACTGGACCTTGTGGGTCTACACACATTTGGTCAGTACTGGACCTTGTGGGTCTACATACATTTGGACAGTACTGGACCTTGTGGGTCTACACACATTTGGACAGTACTGGACCTTGTGGGTCTACACACATTTGGTCAGTACTGGACCTTGTGGGTCTACACACATTTGGTCAGTACTGGACCTTGTGGGTCTACACACATTTGGACAGTACTGGACCTTGTGGGTCTACACACATTTGGACAGTACTGGACCTTGTGGGTCTACACACATTTGGACAGTACTGGACCTTGTGGGTCTACACACATTTGGACAGTACTGGACCTTGTGGGTCTACACACATTTGGACAGTACTGGACCTTGTGGGTCTACACACATTTGGACAGTACTGGACCTTGTGGGTCTACACACATTTGGTCAGTACTGGACCTTGTGGGTCTACACACATTTGGTCAGTACTGGACCTTGTGGGTCTACACACATTTGGACAGTACTGGACCTTGTGGGTCTACACACATTTGGTCAGTACTGGACCTTGTGGGTCTACACACATTTGGACAGTACTGGACCTTGTGGGTCTACACACATTTGGTCAGTACTGGACCTTGTGGGTCTACACACATTTGGTCAGTACTGGACCTTGTGGGTCTACACACATTTGGACAGTACTGGACCTTGTGGGTCTACACACATTTGGTCAGTACTGGACCTTGTGGGTCTACACACATTTGGTCAGTACTGGACCTTGTGGGTCTACATACATTTGGACAGTACTGGACCTTGTGGGTCTACACACATTTGGTCAGTACTGGACCTTGTGGGTCTACACACATTTGGTCAGTACTGGACCTTGTGGGTCTACATACATTTGGACAGTACTGGACCTTGTGGGTCTACACACATTTGGTCAGTACTTGACCTTGTGGGTCTACACACATTTGGTCAGTACTGGACCTTGTGGGTCTACATACATTTGGACAGTACTGGACCTTGTGGGTCTACATACATTTGGACAGTACTGGACCTTGTGGGTCTACACACATTTGGACAGTACTGGACCTTGTGGGTCTACACACATTTGGTCAGTACTGGACCTTGTGGGTCTACATACATTTGGTCAGTACTGGACCTTGTGGGTCTACACACATTTGGTCAGTACTGGACCTTGTGGGTCTACACACATTTGGTCAGTACTGGACCTTGTGGGTCTACACACATTTGGTCAGTACTGGACCTTGTGGGTCTACATACATTTGGACAGTACTGGACCTTGTGGGTCTACACACATTTGGACAGTACTGGACCTTGTGGGTCTACACACATTTGGTCAGTACTGGACCTTGTGGGTCTACACACATTTGGTCAGTACTGGACCTTGTGGGTCTACATACATTTGGACAGTACTGGACCTTGTGGGTCTACACACATTTGGTCAGTACTGGACCTTGTGGGTCTACACACATTTGGTCAGTACTGGACCTTGTGGGTCTACACACATTTGGTCAGTACTGGACCTTGTGGGTCTACACACATTTGGTCAGTACTGGACCTTGTGGGTCTACACACATTCGGTCAGTACTGGACCTTGTGGGTCTACACACATTTGGTCAGTACTGGACCTTGTGGGTCTACACACATTTGGTCAGTACTGGACCTTGTGGGTCTACACACATTTGGACAGTACTGGACCTTGTGGGTCTACACACATTTGGTCAGTACTGGACCTTGTGGGTCTACACACATTTGGTCAGTACTGGACCTTGTGGGTCTACACACATTTGGACAGTACTGGACCTTGTGGGTCTACACACATTTGGACAGTACTGGACCTTGTGGGTCTACACACATTTGGACAGTACTGGACCTTGTGGGTCTACACACATTTGGTCAGTACTGGACCTTGTGGGTCTACACACATTTGGTCAGTACTGGACCTTGTGGGTCTACATACATTTGGTCAGTACTGGACCTTGTGGGTCTACACACATTTGGTCAGTACTGGACCTTGTGGGTCTACACACATTTGGTCAGTACTGGACCTTGTGGGTCTACACACCTTTGGACAGTACTGGACCAGTATTTAGACAGTGCTTAAAAAACTATGAACATAGAGAGTGGTAAAGGAAGTGAATAGCTTGACAATATTAGAGATGACTTTCAGCCTCAACTTGCCTGCAACAACTCCAAGTGGCACAGCCTGGACAGTGAACCAGCCACATGTGTCAGGCCGCCTCTCTCACAGACACGAAGCTCCTCAATGCCTATTCCTGGGAAAAAAATAATGGACCCTTCCAAGTCCTCGCTGCCCCCTCCCCGGAGTGGTCGCAGCTCTGTGTCTAATGAAAACAACGTGCTGCTTGATCCTGAGGTCTTGACTGACTACCCTACCCAGACTCTGGTATTAACAGTATTGGTAAGTCTTCACAATCAACCAATCCCCCAGCTATGTCTTAACAAACTTACTACCCAGGGATATGACTATTCAGATTTTTCAGTTGGAGCTACAGTTTTCCTTCACTAATTTCATTTTCTCAGAATTTTTTCACCCACTTTTGACATATTCAGACTTTTGAATATATTTGTACAAAGTTTTACAAATTTAGGAAAACAACTGAAATAACCTCTTCTAGAAAGAGTTGCCATGTCCATTTCACACATTCTTATTTAAAAATCAAGTATTATGCCTGGCTTACAGTATAGATAAACAAAATCAAATATGTGCAGATCTTTTCAATAGGATGATCACACTTGGTCAAGTACTAGGTCAAGATTCTAAATTTTGGCGGATTTCCAAATTTTTTGATCACACACTTTTAGTCCGATATCAGTTTATAAAAAATATGGAAGAAAGTAGTCTTAAATGTTTTTGTTTTTTAAATGAAAAGTAAATCACCCAAGCCTGGTATCTTTACCCTTAATCTGGCATGTGTGTTAGTCTAGCCATAGCATAATTTATCTACTGTATTTGGACTCACTGGCTGTTTTTAAAGCTACCCCTATTTACAGTTTATCCTTGCAAAAGGTGACTATTAGGACAAGATTAATCCGCTCCTTGCAGCAAATATCATGGTCAGTCTCAAATAGCTATGCTCCTGCTTAGGTGTATGCTATAAGCCTACTGATTTCAAAACTAGAGTTTCTTCCAGGCATCTCTTAGAAAATATATACTTTTAACAGTGTCCGCCCTGCCGCAGCCGCCCCCCCCCCCCCCTCCCCCCACCCCCTTGGAGAAAAAAGTCTGGAAGAAACACTGTTCAAAACTAATGTGACCTCACCTTGACCCCAACTGTTTCTTGCTTGTGAAAGAAAAAATATGACTATTTTTTATAACACTCTACAGCTATTCCAAAAGCATAAATAACTGTAGCTTGGCTACTATAAAAATAGTTAATTTTGGTTCAGACGTTTTTACGAGAATTGATTCCAAAACACTTTAGAAAATAAATATCATTTTCTTTTAAATTTCATCTAATCTGGTCGATCTTATTTTCAAATTACAATTAATCTAAATTTAGGTTCTTTACTGTTGAAGACTTACATTTTTACCATGCTCATCTTTAAGATTATAAGGCATAATTAAATTGAAAACAAAGGTATTAATTAATTATAAGACTGTTTGTGACACCTCAGCCAACTCTAAGTCTAGACTATGCCACCCACCTTTAATATGACACCTCAGCCAACCCTTGGAGTTGCAATGAATTAGCTATGTTACATGATACATTTCTTTGTGTTTTTTTCAGGCTACTTTAGTTCGCAACACCACTGATGAAAATGAAGCGAGAATTTTGTATGAGTATTTAGCTGAGGCGTCTGTTGTCTTTCCAAAAGTTTTTCCTGTCATGTAAGTTCTTGTCTGTCATTCTATGTACAGGTTAGGTCACTGTAGCCAACAGTATAAGTCACTATCACATTTGTTGTGCTGGTCTGACTTAGGTCACTCACTGTCTGATCTAGAGATTGATGCTGTTTCAAAAGTTTTGGCACAATTTTTATGAAATCATCTGATGGGTTAAAGCCAGACATGCCTACCATCCCGCCTCATGTGGAATTCTTCCAATGAATTCCAATAAAGAAATGGTGTCTCGTTCCACCATTCTTTATGTTGTCGTAGTTAGTTCCACTAAATTGAAAAAATAAATAAAAGGAAATGAAAAAAGAGCCATGAAAATGTGATTACTTTCCTTCGGCATCTATTTCTTTTATTAAAAAGTAAGAAGGAAAATATTAACGCACTAACTAAAAATAATCCAAATATTACACCAGTAACGCCCTTTAGTTTTTTGTTTGTATTATTGTGGCCTACCACTAGCTAGTACATGGCAAGCTAGGAGCACAGGAGCTTGGAAAGCTAATCAATGAATCCTAAATAGTTAAAGGTAGTTTTAGCATCAACTACCAGTGTTAAATTAAGTCAATAGCTTAAAAGGTGTAGTAGTGGTTTTATCATAGTGGAGGAGAGGGAGTTAACATGTTTTTTTTTTTAAATTTAAGATTAAATTAAGCAGTATATAGATCTAGATGCAGGCCAGATATGAACTATATATAACTATACTAAAACTATACATAATTCTTATATCTAGTACTACTGTTATGCTTTTTATCTTATTTAAATTATGGCTTATTTATTTTTCAGTTAAACAAAGTTCCTCTTTTTTCCTTCAAATTCCTCTTTTTAAGTCTGACTCTTCCTACTTTTGGTCTCTTTGGGGTAGGCATGTCTGGCCAGACAGATAAGTTTGGTTGCTAAAAAGTATAAGAAATCCAATGTGAAATTTCATTTATTTATCTGAAACAGTACTCTAATTATAGGCTTTGGAAAAACCAAAGGTATAAAAAGTTCCACTCACTGAAAAGTTTATACAGAACTCCAAATTTAATATAATACATGGTCAAAGGAATAGAGGTCAGAGAAGACAAGATGTCTGATTAAAGTTTTCTAAACTCCATTATTTGATAGATTTGTGCTGAAGAAGCAATGTGTTTCCTTGTAGCCTTGTGTTTCCCCATTGAATGTGTGCCAGTTAATGAAGTGATTCCCTTGTAACTTTCAGCCAATGGTTAGCCTTGTGTTTCCCCATTGAATGTGTGCCAGTTAATGAAGTGATTCCCTTGTAACTTTCAGCCACAGCCTGTTGGATGCCAAGATCATTAATGTCTTGTCTCTCTGCCATGACCAAGCCATCCTCAATGCAGTACAGAGCATCATACAGAACATGATTGCTTGCGAGGACGTTTCTCAACAGCAGCAGCTCTCCTATTTACAAAGTAAGCAATTCAATCATTGCCTGGACTAACTGAGCTTAACCTATTTACAAAGTAAGCAATTCAATCATTGCCTGGAGTAACTGAGCTTAACCTTTTTACAAAGTAAACATTCAATCATTGCCTGTACTAACTGAGCTTAACCTATTTACAAAGTAAGCAATTCAATCATTGCCTGGACTAACTGAGCTTAAGCTCTAGCTCCCTAACCCATACTTGCTCTTCTTTCAGGTATTGGTTTTGGTGGTCTCTGGAGGTTTGCAGGCACATTCTCCAAGTCCACTGGAAGTTCTGACACAGCAGAGCTCTTTGTCAACTGTTTAGAGAAAGCCATGATGGTAGAGTCTTGTCTCCCTGGGGACGACCTTGACATCCTCAATCCTTACCCCAGCAGTCTTGGGATTTGTTCCAACTTGAATCTGTCCAGCTCTATGTCCAGCCTAAGTGTTGGCTCAATGCATTCCCCAACAGACAAAGACAATCTGGAGAAGGCTGGGGCCAATGGTGGCCGCACCAGGCACAGCTCGGCCACCCTGGCTGGGAGCAAGCCCCGGGGTGGCAGCTTTAAACAAAAAGAAAAGAAGAAAATCATTGATGTTGACTGACTAGGGCTAATGACCTCTTACAAGCCATAATCATTGTCTCAGCAGTAGTTATGTCTTGTAGGGGGCACCACTTGCTCAGACCTTTGGCCAACTTATGATTGGCTGCTTGCTGTCAGGCTGTGCTCAATACATGTGTAGGACCAGAGGAGCAGGGATCCTCAATCATTCATCATGTCCCCAACTAGCAGGGATCCTCAATCATTCATCATGTGTCTCTCATAAGGATGGTAATTTATGTGTAACAAATTACCTCATTTATTTGAATTTGCAGAATTTATTGTCTGATGGCCCAACATGACAAGTGTGAGCCACCTTTTATTGTCTGATGGCCCAACATGACAAGTGTGAGCCACCTTTTATTGTCTGATGGCCCAACATGACAAGTGTGAGCCACCTTTTATTGTCTGATGGCCCAACATGACGAGTGTGAGCCACCTTTTATTGTCTGATGGCCCAACATGACAACTGTGAGCCACCTTTTATTGTCTGATGGCCCAACATGACAACTGTGAGCCACCTTTTGTTAACTGTAATGCTGGTGGAGCTAGCTGATGTTTGGTTTGCTTTAACTTTTCTATCCATCATCCTTTGTCTTCAACTTTCTATCAAGTATTACCTCCCCTGTCTTTAACTTTTCTATCAAGTATTATCTCCCCTAACCTAACATTATGGCTCACCCATTGAAATAGAAACTATCTGGTTGCTTACAGTAATTGGCTTTGTCCTATTAGTTTACACTGTAGGAAGGCTGGTTGCTTATAGTTTATTTAATGAGCAAATACCAAAGAGGCTTCTAGGGAGACAGAGGAAAGTTGTTCAGACAGAGGTGTGTTTAGTCACATTGTTTCTTTCAGACATTTGTTCATGTCATTTGAAGGCTGTTTGTCCATTGGTCTGTTACTGTGATGTCATCAAAGTTCACTGGCTCATATCAAACATGCATATCATTTTTGAATAGAAAAAGATTTTTTTTAAACAAATCAAAAAACCCTTGAAAAACCTAATGTTACCTTGATTGTTGGTGTTGTCAGTTGTGTCAGTGGTCAGTTGTGTCAGTGGTCAGTTGTGTGTTGTCTCAATGAACCTGAGCTTCTCAAGTTTGTCTGACCTAGTGAGCCCATGTTTGAACTGATCTCATATTTGTCTACTTGAAGCCTGTATATTATGTTACATATGTTCGTTGTTTTACCAAAGGAAATATAATATAAATACTTTTATATATATATATATATATTCTTTTAATTGTGACAACTATTGTATCTGTATGTGTGTGTGTATATATATATCATCACTGAATTGTTAGAACTTGTTTGATGCCTGCCTGTCATTATTCTGCTTTGGCTGTCTTTAAACAATCTGAACATTTCCAATTGCATTTTTAAAAGTCCCATACCTTCATCACATTCAAACTATTGAGTCTATATTGAGTGTATATATTTAAACGTTATAACTGTTATAAAAATATTGAAATATGAGATATAGAAAAGAATTGACTTGTAAATATGCCATATGTCAATGAGACATTTTGAGTATCCATTTGGTGCTAAGATCACTCCCATTTAGCCACACAAACATTGATTAGTACTCCTAGTCAAAAACACAAGTTCATTTAATGGAAGTATTTGATGTAATTATTGATCTTGTAACTAAGTCTTTTGTTTACTGTGTCCAACATTTGTCTGCTTTATGTTGATGGCATTTGTTAGGTAGACCTTGTCCTATTGATGTTTGGTTTCATTGTCACACTCATTCATTAAATGGTCATATTTGGCTCATGAGCTTTTTTTTTTCTCACCCAGGATACATCACGTGAGTTAGAAGAGGTCTAGGACATTTACTCCCCCCCCCCCCCCTAAAATAAAAAATAATGTCAACAACAAAATACTAATTTACAAACATTGACATAAAATATACATTCTGAATTTGTTTTGTTATGGTTAATCTGTCAAAAGCAAACAAAGGAAAACCTAAAGTTTGAATATCCTGTGCTATTTTGGGTATGATTGATGAGCACTTAAAGAAAATTGATACAGCTCTGTCCATGGTCAGCCTACAGTGGTCTGTGGGAGGCAGCTCCCACCTAGCATGTCCCACATGTCAGGCTCATTAAGCGCTCCTTTAAGATATACATCATACTCTTCTAAAATCCTTTCTGCTACCAGTGTCAACTAACATTTTCAAAAGTACTTTGAAAGATACATTTCTAGGTGGGTGGTGTTTCATTTCTTGAGAATACTTCTATACATCAATACATAGCAATATTCCTATCCTTCCTCTAGTCGGGGGGGGGGGGGGGGGGGGGGGCATTGTCCTACTACAGTTTATAGGTGGGAGTGGGTGTCTTGCTCCAGGCTACAACCCAACATGAGTCTCAGTGTTCACATTAAGCCTAACTCAGTCCACACAGCTAAAAACAAACTATTTGAGAGAAATTTTATTTCAAGTATTATTAAAAACTCTATAAAAATGTTGAAGAATTGAATGATGTCTTGTGACTGCTAGATGAATGATACATAAACTTGATGAACATTATATTTGTAAAAAAATTATCAGCAGGTTAATTCATGTTAACCCTACACAATGATCTACCTTTTTAAATGTGATTTAGAAATGGTAATATAATTATTATAAAAAAGTACAAAATAATGTTGACAGTGTATTAGTCTAGGGAAAAGCAACACATTGGAAGGGTGCACAGGATAATTACAAAAATAACTGACCCTTCATTTTTTGTTTTGACCTGTGTACAAAATCTCATTTGTCCATCTTGAAGAAAGTCAACATTTTGGTGAGTTTGTCCAGATGAGAAGCGTGAGGGTAGGGATGTTTTGTTGATGTTTTTGTGTGGACATTACCCATGGATGAGCCCATGCTCCATTGTCTGGTATCAACTTCAACCCAGTGGGATGAACTACCTCTATTGATGGTACATACATGGCCTACACAGCCAGAACTACCTAACGCCCCATTTGGTCATACAAATATACAATGGTACAAACAAAAAAATAATGGCAAGGTATAAAACATCATTCATCATTTTTCCTTTGTAGCCCCTGGAAGCAGAGGGCCGCAGTTACACTTTTCCAGCAGACTCTGTTTTGGGCTGCTCCCTTTATCTGTGCCCATGTGAGCCCAGCTGTCTTAGCCTCTTCCTCTACCATTCTTTTCCATGTTTTCTTTGGCCGGCCCACTTTCCTTTTTCCCTGGGGATTCCAGTCCATTTTTTACAATATTTCCTTCTTCCCTATTTACAGGCCTTGATATTCTTCTATGTTGGCTGCAGTTTTGTATTTTACCACAGGTCTTTGTTTGGTATTCTGTCTGGCCATCTTATTTTAAGGATCTGTCGTAAGCATTTATTTGTAAAGACTGTAACCTATCTGGCTTTACCTTTGTAACCTTCCTTGTATTAAAATTTTTTATCATGCTCTGGAGTGACAGGGATATGCACTTCCATATTGGGCACAGTGAGTTGAAGGCACATCTATCCTTGTTGATATGGCATTTTATGTCCTCGTCTGATCCTCCGTCCTTATTGATCAAGCTTCCGAGATATGTGAATGTGTTTCTGGTAAATCTTCTCCTTTTAGCTGTATGGGCAGGTCCTGGCTTTTATTGATTCTGATGACTTCTGTTTTACTTTTGTTGATTTTTAGTCCAACTTTGGAGGATTCTTCAGATAGCCAATTCAGTTTGGCTTGTGCATGTTGCTGCTTGTGAGATAGTAGGCAGATGTCATCGGTAAAAATCTAGATCTTCCAGCCTTTTGGTGAAACTCCACTGGATTCCTGTGTCTTTTTTTGTGGCCCTCAGCATGATCCAGTCAATTACCATCAACAATATCATTGGCGTTAGCAAACATTCCTGTCTCACTCCCATCTTCACTGTAAAGAGGTTTGTTAGTTTTCCTTTGTGTATTACCAGACAGGAGGAGTCTTCATATAGTTTCTATGTGATAGATATACATTTTTTGGGCATTCCATGTTGGCTCATTAGCTTCCAGATAACGTCTCAATTCACACTGTCAAACGCCTTTTCAAAGTTGACAAGTCATGTATAATGGTACAAAACGCTGTTGTATGTACAAAAATTATTTGGTACTCCAATATAACAGAATGGTTCTAAATTATTGCTCATAAAGTCTTTATCTCTAAAAACTTGACAGATAAGTAGAAAATTGTTGAGAATCAACTTTCATATTTCAATGTAACTCACATTGGCTTGAATAAAAACAGTAGCCCCATCCTCATGAATTTTCCCAAAGTCTGAAGACGTCAGTCTGACCCTGAGCAGCCCATGATGCTCCTACAATTCTTTGATCCTATCATCCTTGCTGTCATCTGATGTTTGTTTTGTGACATCATGAACCATCTGATCTGTGACTCTATCGTGTCTACCTGGAACTCCTGTGAGCAGTTGAAGCACCTGCCTAGCCAGGTACTGTACAGATGCTGTGTGAGGTGGCCAGCACAAGATCTCAACCACCCGCTGGACATGGTGCTCCAGGAAGGCTTTCAACAAAAATGGAACTGGAGAAAAACGTGGGTTTTCATAACTAACAAGTTCTGAGTTGAATCTGTGATGGTCCAGTCTCTCTCAATCTTTGCTCATCACAGCCTATCACTTCAAATGTACACGGTCATGTTTCAAATAATGACCACAGCCACACATGTATATGGTCAAATAATGACCACAGCCACACATGTACATGGTCAAATAATGACCACAGCCACACATGTACATGGTCAAATAATGACAACAGCCACACATGTGCATGGTCAAATAATGACCACAGCCACACATGTACATGGTCAAATAATGACCACAGCCACACATGTACATGGTCAAATAATGACCACAGCCACACATGTACATGGTCAAATAATGACCACAGCCACATATGATGAAGATTACAAATCTGAGTTCTGTGGTGAGTCCTATGAGTCTAACCTTGAAGATAATCCTGAAGCTGCATCAGGCCATGAAGAAGGACACTATCAGGTCCAGTCTTTAACAGCTTGTCTATGTAGGCCACTAGCAACAACATGTTGCTCTCTAGTAGCTGACACGAGACCACTGCAGTACAAGTTTACAAATCAAGGAGCGCTACACTACTAAGGCCTAGATCAATCTAAATGTTTACTTGGGGAATTAAACTTGATAAAGAAATTAAAAAGAAATGATTGCTTTGTGAACTATCCAAGTCTAATTGAATGAACTCAGGGCATATTTCTAGTTGCCACTCAAGTAAGAATTTGTTGAAAGATTTTTCTGTGCAGTTATCAGCTAAGTAAGTAACTTGAATATCTGACCTGATGTGCTCATCTTGCTGATGATGCTGATACAGGACTGTAACAAGCTGACGTCACTGGTCAGGAAAGCCGTGTCCAACACTAGAGTGTAGGCTTGGCCTTCATTCTCCAACAGCAAATCTCTGACTTGATCTGCTCAGCACAAATAATAAAGCTATTAGCCTTGAGATGTGGCTGTCTAGTCCTAGACTATGGAGAGTGTAGAAGAGTATTTGTTACCATTAGCACTGAAAGACGCCAGTATTGACAGGACTGCTGGAACAAGTTTCTTGTCAAAAGTTTTTTCCCCAAAACTGAACACAACTTTCTGTAGAAGTCCTGCATCCAACATTTGCTAGGCACACACAGAAAAGTAAATGTTTTAAACACTGGCCGTACAGATAAGTGAATGTTTTAAACACTGGCCATACAGATAAGTAAATGTTTCAAACACTGGCCATACAGATAAGTGAATGTTTGACACTTTGACTTACTGGTAAATGTTTTTTCCCTAAGTTAAAGACAACCTCTAGAATGTGTTCTCTGTGCTCTTCATCACAGAACCCCTCCACCAAGCAAGTCAGGAAACCTTCGTAGCAAAGCTTGTCCTAGAAAAGGTGAAGGACATGTTGAAAAACAAATGTTGAGTTTTAATCAATCTAACTGGTAGGTGGTGAAAGTCTGTATATACCGCTGGGCGATTAAATCTGGCCATTCTAGCCAATGCTTCAATGACCAGAGCCCGATCTGTCTCGGCATGACAAGTGTACCAAATGCCCTTCAACTTGAGCACAAGACCTCTTTTAACCATCTGCTTACATCCAGCCTCTGGGGGGAAAAATTAAATAATAAATGTAGAAATAAATTAAACAATCTGAGAATAATATAGGTCGTCCAAAAGTAACATTTCTCTTTTTTTTTTTTTTTGTGGCCGATTTGTACGAAGGGTTCGCCAACACAGGTAGAAGAAAAAAAATTAAAAGCTCATCTTAAGCTGCAGTTTTGAATTATCAACAGTCAAAGAAATTTAAAGTTTACGAGCTTTGCATACTGATTTAACTATTTTCTCCTTGATTGTGTAACTGTCAAACATATATCTTGAAGAAACAGAGACCTAAACCGCTTTCCAGCTTTACCTAGATGGGGGGGGGGGGGCCTTTTTGCGACTAAAATTGGAAGGATTTACATGGATTGATGAGTATATAACCTTTATCTCTTAAAAGAGAAACACACTAGACTAAAGCGTTTTGTACGATTGTGTAACATTAAAAAACTAATTAGTGACGTTAGACCTCGAGGCATACAGTAAAGGAGACTTCACATTTAGCTAAAGATCCAGACTGAATATTTTTGACAAAGCATTTAAATTTCGCACATCTGCGAATTCGAGCTGCTTTGTCTGTCAGATCCCAGTTTGTTTCCTCTAGCTTGTTTCATTTTACTTATTCAATCAACCAGTCAACGAGATACCCACTGTGTACAATCAATCATAAATGTTTCAAATTTGCTATTGTATGTCACTTGTATGACCGTATTCTAACAAACTTATAAACCAGCTAGAATCTATGTACCATACCACAACAGATACTGTTCCAGAGATAGAACATAACAAGATTGGCCTAAACTAATTAGCGCCTGCTAAAAACTTCTACTTTATTTTTTTCTAAAAATAATAATCTTTTTAAAAAGGACTAGACTACCCGTTATCTAGTTAAATAACTGTGGGTTTCGGGGGATCATCCATAAATGACATCACGTCTACCAGCACTTCTGCCAAAATAACCAGACTTCCACATTCAAAAAGACGTTTTTTATATTTTAAAAACTCTACTAAACTCTACTTCACCTGCCCAGTGCCCCGCCAAGTCTCAGACATGTTTGTATTAAAAAAAAAAACGATACCGGCCGAGCATGGCTCTGACCACACTATCCCTTCATATGCTGAGAACATAGAAACAGGTGAACTCTACTTCACCTACCCTGTGCCCCGCGAGGTCCTGATAGTCAACCTTATCATTCACATATAGGCCTTAAGAAAAAACAATTGTTGTAAAAAAAAAAGTCATTGTTCTGAACTTTTATAATTAATAATAATGTGGTTAATCTAGCAATGAATATATCAATAAATTAATTAACGGCTTTAAATTAGTTTGTAATTAACAGTGTGTTTAAGAAAGAACAATATTTACCACCCAAAATCCTATTTTACAGCTCTACACATAATGCAAATTCTCCCCAATAACAAATCAAACAAACAAACAAAAAATGAGTTATCAAACGTCACTATTCAGTCAAAGTTAAGCCATTGTTCAAAAACTTTAAAATTAATGAGGTTAATCTACCTATGAATAAATCAATAAATTAATTAACGTCTTTAAATAAATGTGTGATTAACAGTCCGTCTGCAATCAAAAATTGTTCTCTACCTACATACTATTTTACAGCCCCCCCCCCATATATAGCAGTTTCCTTACAGTACCAACTCAGACAAACAAATAAATATTCAAACATGTAAACAAACTTGAGTTTTAGTAGTATACTAGACTACCCGTTATCTAGTTAGATAACTGTGGGTTTCGGGGGTCATCCATAAATGACATCACGTCTGTCAGCGCTTATCATCCCAAAATAACCAGACCCCACATTCAAAAAGACGTTTTTTATATTTTAAAAACCCTACTAAACTCTACTTCACCTGCCCAGTGTCCCGCCAAGTCTCAACATGTTTGAATTTAAAAAAAAACAATTCCGGCCGAGTATGGCTCTGACCACACTATCTCTTCATATGCTGAGAACATAGAAACAGGTGAACTCTACTTCACCTACCCTGTGCCCCGCGAGGTCCTGATAGTCAACCTTATCATTCACATATAGGCCTTAAGAAAAAACAATTGTTGTAAAAAAAAAAAGTCATTGTTCTGAACTTTTATAATTAATAATAATGTGGTTAATCTACCTATGAATATATCAATACATTAATTAACGGCTTTAAATTAGTTTGTAATTAACAGTGTGTTTAAGAAGAAACAATATTTACCACCCAAAATCCTATTTTACAGCTCTACGCATAATGCAGATTCTCCCCAATAACAAATAAAAAAAACAAACAAACAAAAAAAATTAATTATCAAACGTCACTATTCAGTCAAAGTTAAGCCATTGTTCAAAAACTTTAAAATTAATGTGGTTAATCTACCTATGAACAAATCAATAAATTAATTAACGTCTTTAAATAAATGTGTGATTAACAGTCTGTCTGAAAACAAAAATTGTTCTCTACCTACATACTATTTTACAGCGCTCCACATAGAGTAGAACCATTTATGATTTACAATAGTCAATCAGACAAACAAATAAATATTCAAACGTAAACAAACTTGAGTTTTAGTAGTATTAAGATTAGATAGATAATGCATCTTAAAAAAGGTAATTAAATTGGCGTCGAGTAAAGTTTATGTGGAACGAAAATCATAAACCATAATTATTAAATCTTTTCCGAACTGTCGTACATACACACACATATGTATATGTATGTATATATATATATATATATATATATATATATATATATATATATATATATATATATATACATATATATATATGCATTTCTGTGCGTATATGTATTTCTGTGTATGTATGTATTTCTATGTTTTTATATATGCATATATATATATGCTTATGTATGTATATATATATGCATATATATATATATATATGCTTATGTATGTATATAAAGCATATGTAAGTATGCAAATAGCATGTATGCATATGCATATATATGCATATGTATGTCTGCAAATGCATGTCTGCATATGTATATATGTATCTGTGTGTATATGTGTTTACGGCTGGGCATAGTGCTGACCGCACTATCCGTTCATATGCCAAGGGTCACAGAAACACTTGTCCCTAAGACCGTCAGGTTTGAAAGGGAACTTTACAAGACATTACTATTTCTTCCCCCCCCCCCTTCTTTATAGCTAGCATTCTAGCATGTGTGGGTGTAAATTGTTAAAAGTAAAAGACAATCAGCCTTTACGCACATGCTTTGTCAATTTTTTAAAACTCACTTATCTTCAGCCCTCTTAACAAAAGAAAAAAGTTGATCAGAAAGTACCCAACCCATTACATTTTCTTGTTTATTTTGGTAGAACCAGGCTACGATAATTTGTCTTCAAATATTCTTTGAGCTGTTTCTCTTTGGTAGGAAATTGCTAATTACTATTTAATAAATCCGTATAAATATTAAATTTCTTACTTATTAATCAAGTTACATTACCCCCCCCCCCAATAGGAGTGTGAGGTCTAGTATAGATGATCGTTATTAAAAAGGAAATACTCACCATCAACACAGAGTTTACAGAGAAGAATCAGATTTTGTCTTGGCAACTAAACAGAAGAAAAAACGAAACTAATCATTGACAAGTCCCTAGCACACATGAGTGAGACTAAACACATTGATAAACTTAGTTCAATGTCAACTAAATTACCATTTATTGTTATATTGTTTCTACTTCGTCCTGTGTTGGGGGGGGGTGTGGTGCTTAAAAGTAACTGATGACAGCAGTGTTATGGTAAGATCAAACAAGTTAGTCTTAACATTATAATTATATGGCAAAACTCAGATAAATTAAAAACAGTACTGACTATCATGTGTGCTACACCTATAAAAATACCTCCATTGACCTCTCAAGTTGAGCTTACTGTGCACCAATTGTAGTGTTGTATGTTGAAATGAGCTTACTGTGCACCAATTATAGTGTTGTATGTTGAAATGAGCTTACTGTGCACCAATTGTAGTGTTGTATGTTGAAATGAGCTTACTGTGCACCAATTGTAGTGTTGTATGTTGAAATAAGCTTATTGTGCACCAATTGTAGTGTTGTATGTTGAAATGAGCTTACTATGCACCAATTGTAGTGTTGTATGTTGAAATGAGCTTACTGTGCACCAATTGTAGTGTTGTATGTTGAAATAAGCTTATTGTGCACCAATTGTAGTGTTGTATGTTGAAATGAGCTTACTATGCACCAATTGTAGTGTTGTATGTTGAAATGAGCTTACTGTGCACCAGTTTTGTATTTGGATCACGCTGACACCGTGTTGACCTCGGTTAGACAAGGTGACCTGAAAATAAAATTATTACAGACTACTTTCCCATTAGATCTTTATATCTATATACTACTCAAACTAAAACTTACTTATTTATAAATTTGTTATTTTTTTTTCTTTGTTGTTTCCACTTTGGGGGGGGGGGGGGCATCCCTAAAATGACTACCCTCATAATTTCATAAAATCTGATTGTATTTGTGTTTACCTGTTGTGTTTGCATTATGTTTGTGTTTGGTCTTGTTATGTTCCTAAGTTGGTACATTTAAAAAAAGATTCACAGTGACCAAGTACGGGTATGCAGCTTTTATATATATATATATATATATATATATATATATATATATATATATATATATATATATATATATATATATATATATATATATATATATATATATATACTAGCCGTCCCTGCTCTGGCTTCTGTGAAAAACCTTTCTGTTAAAGACCATTACCTGTGTGTTTAGTAATCATCATAAACCCGGCATTGCCCACCCAAACCACAACCAACCAAAACAACAAAACGCAAACATAACGCTAACACAATTACAAATATAAACGAAAACAAAAACCTAACAACAAACCCAACCACAACCACAAACACAAAGAAAAAACAAACAAAAAAGCAAACGAAAACAAAAACCTAACAACAAACCCAACCACAAACACCAATACCAACAAAAAAAAACAACGAAAAAGCAAACGAAAACAAACCAAATCCAAACGCAAAACCAACCAAAAACACAAATACAAACCCAAACAAAAAAACACAAACAAAAACGAAAAAAGAAAGAACAAAAACGAACCAAATCAAAACGCAACCACTAACGCAAACCCACCTAAACACAAAGAAAACACTAACGCGAACATAAACGCCCGGGGCGGAATCACCTGTTTTAGCTTAATGAACGACTATAGTACCCCAACTTATTTATAGTCTTTTGCACTCACTTAAACGAACGCGCCTTTTTCAATTTAATGAACAATTTTAATACTCCAAGCTTATCCGTAAAATACCTACAACATTTGCACTT